ATATACGTTTTAGTAGGTTATAAATCAAATATGAGAATTTGAGTCAAATAGGTGAATATGAATTTGACAGCTTATGCCCCTTTAAGGAAGTAAGCAGTCTTAAATTTTACTTTAATGTGTCAGTTATTAGCATCCTATTATATACAGACATTGAGATTTTTGAACTCATTGGATTACGTGTGTGTGCCTTATAGATTGAGTATTTCCTTTAAACATAGCACAACACTTAATGGGAATACTAAAACCCATTCTTTGCCTGGTTTGATTTAAAGTTCATTTTTTATATCATACAGCTTAATAAATAAGATCAAGGACATTAGCTCTGTTGCTGGTCCCTTTAGAAATTGCCAACTTCCAAACTTGACAAATGGAATAGTCATAAATAGATGAATTTAATTTGATAGGTATGTTCGCTAAAAAAAGCTGTGAAGAACATTTTAAAAGTCCCTGGCGATATCTTCACAGGGCAAAAGCTTGTACTTATTTTGCTGAGCTCACCATTAAACCATGATTTATATTATTGAGAGTCTAATGATTTGATGTAATGCATTTTCTTTTTTCATATTAAAATTCTTCAGACCTGAGTGCCTGATTTGCATAACCTGAAATTTTGTAAAGTTAATTGATAAATCATTGATTAACATCTTGGGATGCTTTTTGAATGCTTCCTGTAAATCACTAAAGAGATCATGTAATCTGCTGCATAAATATTGATTATGTTGACACTTTGAATGTAAAATGCAGCCTTAAAAGGAAAACACTACTTGGTACCATGACAAAGCTTGCAATTATTATAATTCTGTAAAAATCTGTTATTCAGTAGATGATTGTCATAGGGTCTAGGATATTTTGTGATTTTGATGGAAAATCAGGTAAAAATATTATTTTTATGTTTTCTTTTTGTTTAAATAATGATACCCAGTAGTAGGCTGTAGTATGATGGTTTAAATCTGTATCTTTTATATAAAGTTCACTAAGTCAGATTGTATAATATAGTAGTAAATAATTTAACAGCAGCACGTTGATTTCTGAAACAATCAAGGTACCATCAAGTTTGTGTATTCTTGTTATTATGAGTTCCACAATATAAACTAGAAACCACAAAGAATATAAATGTGTACAAATAATCTGTGATGTGCTAATTTTAATTGTTGGATGTTTTGCAACCATTTGCATATCTTAACAAAGGCTGTAAGACGAAATGAATTAGTAACAGCCATAAGTTAATAAAACCCAAGTTAATGCTTTAACCTAAACTGTGCAGTTTTTATAAAAGTTTCTTACACTTTTATGACACATGGTCTTGTTAGGTAAAGGACAGGGGGAGAGAGATGGGGGGTTGATTTTTTCAGGGAATATGGGTTTCACCTCACCATATTTCATGTCTTTTAAAAAATACAGTACCAAGTCTGTTATTCCTTGTTCCACGTTTTTGTTTGTGGGTCTATTTTCTCTGAGGAGTTGGCTGTTGGCGGTTTGTGTATTCTAGTACTGTCCAATATTTTTGGTAATTCCTGTTTTAATTACTGCAAAAGAACAGCACTTACAAAACTCAGTGTTTTATTCTTTTGACTAGGAAGTTGTCTTGCTACAGTGAGTTAAAGATAGCATCTAATAATTGATGTTCCAGTATGTAGATAATACCACAACAATCTTGATAACAATATTATTCACCAAAGATAGTTTCATTTTCACTTTAACATTTTCAAAATTATCAAGATATCTTTGAATTTTAATTGTTGTTGGGTTGTCATCTCATATTGATATATTCCTCATATGTCCAAACTAGTGCATGTTTTTTTGTGATGGACAAATGATAGAGATCCAGTAACTATATAATCTTTGATTAGTAGAAGAAAATAAAGGATTGTTTTTATGTCAAAGACCTAGAAGTTTTACACAATTGCAGGAGTATTTTGACCTGAATTGTGATAGTATAAACACCTGTGTTTAATTTGAAAATTATTAAGGATTTGGGACTTAAGGACAATTTATTTATCATACTGTTTACTTGTTTTATCAGTAAATCATGTCAACAAATTCTGGAGTTGACTTTTTGAATTCATACGTAATCAATCAAATATTTGATATTGATGAATCTCAATCACACTATCTGAAATCATTGTATGGAATGAATTTCACTAATCTTATTTAAAATCTTGTAATATTTTATGACAATCACCAAATTATAGGCTCCTGACTTGGGACAGGAACATACAGAAAGTGATACCCTCCCCCTAACCTTGGGCAATGGTATAACAGCAAACTATAAAAATCAGTTGAAAATGGCTTAACTCATTAGATTGATACACTGCACAAAAAAAACTAATAAAAACACTAAAGAATCAAAGTGCAGATCTGACAGTACTCACAGTTACTGAAAGCTAGTTCAAAGCCATTATTATAACCAAAAAAATCATGTCACTAAAACTGTGTTGAAAATATTGTGCAAAGGGAAATAACCCAAGCTGCTCTGTGCATATTTAACATAGAGGTTTTATCAACATAAAGAAGAAAAAAATAATATAACACTGAAACTTTCTTTATTTGACCCTGTGTCATCCACATTATATTCATTCTGACCGCCACAACATATAAAAACACAACATAAAATTTACTAATCCTACTTTTTGAGAAGTTTGTTAACTGTAAAACATAAAGCTCATACAGTTTACATAACAATGGAATGGAACTTTACATAATTATTTTATAATGTAGTAGATACATTTGTGTTAATCAATGCCGTTTTAAATTAGACAGGAGAAAAAAAGGGAGAAATGAGCCATTATTTAAATATTTAGACAACTGTCTTTTGTTGAAAACTGTATGCAAACCTCTATAATTCTTTTGGGTTAATTTTGTACTTTGGTTGAATCTCACCCATTTTCAACAGAAGCAACACAATATTTGTGTAATTTCCCCCTCCCTGCCGTTCTCCTATGCTATTCAAATTTGTTATCTTGCATTTGATTTTTTTTTTTGTTTACTATTTACCCAAACTTTGCAAGAGAGATATCTTCTAGGTTTGTTATTTTGACATCTTTATTCAGAATTGAGTGCTAGGGGAAATAACTCCAAGCACTCAATTTTTTGAAAATATTACAAACGAATGACTTCCTTTCATGGCCTTGTCAGAATGGGGAACAAAAATAATAGAGAAAAAGAAGTTTAGAATGTTTAAATGCTTTCTTTTTCTTTTTCTTTTTTGCAAGGTCAAGTTAGGTATCTTGGATATATGCTTGATAACAATTTTAGTCATTTCTGGAGGTGTGTTTGATGTTAAACAAAGCAGCAACAGCTTGTCATGTAAATGCAGAACATTTTTAAGTAAAGATGAAGGGTTTTACGTACAGCAAATATTATATTATTTTACAAATTCAGATAAAGAAAGACAAGAAATATAATGAGAACTGAAACAATATTAACTTTTTTGTCACAGAATATTATTTGCAATTTGTGGTTGACCATTATTTAACAAATGTAATGATAACCCCATGTAAATAAGGAGACTTGTCAAAAATTTCATGTAAATTCTTTTCACTAAGATAGATTTTCTTTTTTTTCATCATACCCTCCTCAAATTAGGATGAAGGTTTCCATTAATAAAAACCGCTGACAAATTTGATGAGCAGAGCAGAATCTTAAATGGGAGCAATTCCTTTTGGAAGGGGACTTAACTATATGGGGTATGTGTGCTTGTGCACTTCAAGTTTTTTCATAAAGTAAGTTTAAAATTGAGAATGGAAATGGGGAATGTGTCAAAGATACAACAACCCGACCATAGAGCAGACCGAAGGCCACCAATGGGTCTTCAATGCAGCGAGAAACTCCCGCACCCGAAGGCGTCCTTCAGCTGGCCCCTAAATAAATATGTATACTAGTTCAGTGATAATGGACGTCATACTAAACTCCAAATTAAACACCAGAAACTAAAATTAAAAATGATACAAGACTAACAAAGGCCAGAGGCTCCTGACTTGGCACAGGCGCAAAAATGCGGCTGGGTTAAACATGTTTATTGAGATCTCAACCCTCACAATGGTTTCTTAAAGGATTAGAACAAAGAAGTCTTTACAAAGGCTTTAATTTAACTGTTTCATTCAAAATATTGTACTGGTAATGCAAAAAGGGTAATTTCTAGAAATTAAGAATGATTTGCTTTAGAAAAACATTTCCTTTTTAGCTCACTTTGAAACCACTGATGTGAAAAATTGAAATTGATATATGAAATGTTGCTTGATTTTTTTGTAGAGAAGAACAATTAAAGGAAACAAATTACAAGAAAATGTTATGGATGGCTATTTCTCTTCTTTAATTAGAAAAAAAATCTTTTTTTTATTTAAATTTTGATAAAGATTCCTTTAATCAATAGATGTTAAAGATTAGAATGTTACAAACATGTGCAAATAAAGGAAATGTGTACCTCCATTACAAATTATGCACCCACTTAAAACAATCTATTTTCCTATAAAAACTGTTATCGATACATTTTATTTTTGTACATATAATCTTTTCTATTAAATGTTTCCAGGAGATTGGACAAATTGGATAATATTGGTTTTCATTTAAACAGCTCATTTCTGAAGTGTTAAACAGGTTTATAATACAGCTTATGATCAATTAAGCCTTGAGGGAGATCCAATGATGATAACCTGTGTTGGGTTGTCTACATTTTACAATACTCCTGTACTATTTTCAAACATATATTACATTTATCTTGCAGTTTTTGTATTGGCATGTTCCCATTGAAATATGAATTAATTCAATATACATGATAAATGGCTCAGCGTGAAGTAATGTCCTTACAAATAAATGTTTTTTAAGGTCCAATGTCTCAATTTGTATGTGTCTAAATTGGTTCTATTGATAATTAACAAAACTATTATGATTTAATCAATGTAAGAGCCTTATTTTGAATTGATGTGAGGTGTGCTATTTAAAAAGACTTTGTCATATTTGTTTCAATGACATATTTTGTTGAACAGGATTAAATTTTGGGCTGAATAAGTCTTTCATATGACAGTAGATTTTGGAGTTGTTATACTAGAAATGTTTTGTACCGGTTAAAATATATTTAATAACTCTTAATTTGACAAGATGTGATTAATTCGTGTAAAAAAGTAGTAAATTTGTGAATTTTTTAATCTATTTTTATTGTGTAGAAGTATTGAAATATCAATATGTATAAATGAAACATACAACTGGAAAAAGGTGAAAATTAATTGAACTTTTCTTGACATTCATTAACATCCATTGCTTATGTGTGATTGATTTTTCTAATGATTGTGGTTGCGTGCCATCGTTATGCCGTGATGTCAATACCAACACTTCAATAAGTGGCCGATCAGACTAATATTGAAGTTATATACTTGACTGTACCTTTATTGTATGGATAGACAAAATACTGACATGTTTAGAAAATCAGATTGTCCGAGAGATTGATTTTTTAAGTCATCATAACATTTTTATATAACGAGGATTAATTCATTTGTCAGTAACTGTGGAATTTGTTAAATGTTTTACTTGTAATCTGAATACCTTTTTTGTAGTGGATCTTGATATTGCATGTTAGGATTTAGAAAGTTCATAAAACTTCAATAAATGTTGCATGTTTAATATGCTTCACAGGGGTTTAACATTTTTCTTTATGTACAGTGTGTTTAAAAAGAGATATACATATAGATAGCAAATAATTCAATTCTGACATGAAAATTGTATTTCACTAATGCAAGCACCGTGAATTGAGGGATAACTTTTTCCAATTCTTTCAAAAAAGGATGATATTTGTGTTTTGGATGTAGCAGTATATTGCATTGAAATCTTCATGCATCCAATGGGACGACCCAGAGTGCCAGAGACACCGTTAATCAGTGTTGAACATGAGAATCCTTGGGAAGTTAATCTGTCCTTTCGATCTGTCAGTATTGCGCCTTGTAATGGTAAGGTTATACTAAACCAGATGTTAATTATTTTCTCTCCTATTTATCTATTAAAACTCTATATAGAGAGTAGAAGTGACTTTGTGAGGAATACATTTATGTATATGTTCTTTTCAAGGTTACATGATAAAAGCTGTTTTGAAATCAAATAAGTAGACTAGAAAATTTTCTGACAAAACAGCACTGTTGTAGTTCAAGGTAAACAACAGATTTGGTTATGTTATTTAAGTAGAAATGAAAATATAACACAAAAATTAATGTCTTTAAACATTGATCACACTAAATACATGTGAGAAAATTTGACTTCAAATTTTTTTGTTTTGTTTTTGTTTTTTTCTTTGTCAAAAAATGGACGAATGACCTGTTGGATTATTCTGATTATGAGTTTTTATTGAAAATGTTTGCGAAAAATCCTTAATAGCCCATAGTAACAACTATTAAAAAATGATTCGAGAATTTTCAAGTAAACTTTTTGGTATACATTTAGCAGATTATTGCATTCTTTGATTTTTTTTCTACAAAAAGACTATTCCATGAATGGATAAAAAAGGTATAAACAATATTATCTTTTATTTTATTTTATGTCAATCTCACAGTATTTTGATTGAGAACATTGTCTATTATAACTATATATATAAAAAAACCAGTTTTCCATTTTAGGAAGTTTCTAAATATATGTAATATTTACATTTGGTTTTACAAATTTATTGTTATTCCATCTATAATACTCTTTTTATATCTTATACTTAACAATTCTTATTTATTGTTTTACTAAAGCTTTTAAAAATCTTGAATATTTTATGACATTTATTCTACAGCATCTATTTTAGATATTTTTTCATTATTAAAATAGTTGCATAGATAATATTGGAACTGTCACAACTTTTTAACCTCTTTGTTAAATACTTTGTCTGATTTTATGAAATTTGATGAGGTCAGTTGTCCAAACTAAAGAATTCTGTTGTGGTTCTTATGGGTCATTAAAAGAATTGGAGACTAAGTAATTGAAAATAGGTTTATTATTAAAGGACTGGAAGATAGTGTCTCCAGTCACAAATTTTAAATCTTTCAATGTTTTGTTGACATATTTGTTGTTTAAAATGAGAATTAAACTTCCTTCTAGAGGTTTCTTCTGATTAAGAAAACTGATTCAGTGGTCTTATTGTAGCAAACTATCAAGCATGGCAGGTAGTGGATTAAAGAATTTAAAATTGATATTTGCTGCCTTCCTACCATACAAATGGCATATACTTGTAAAAACAAAGAGTTTTTGGCTTGGAGTGATGTCTTTCTGTGGACTGATACCTTGTGAGCTAATATAAATAAGAAGATGTAGTATGAGTGCCAATGAGACAACTCTCCAAGCATGTTAAAAACCTAACTCAGCATGTCAACCTAGTATGTTAATATCTCCTTAACATATCATAATCCTCAATATACATTTACTCTGCTGGACAATCAAACGGTCAACTTTTTTCAGACTAATCTGGGGTCTTGATGGCTGAGTGGTCTATGTAATTATCTACACTAATTACTAGCCTGTCAACACTGAGCTGTGGCAGTGGGGTTCAAATCCTATCTTAATTGACTAGGATTGCTTGTTTTCCTGTCAAAGGTGGGTGGTTCTTTCCGTGTACTTGGGCTTCCTCAAATAATAAAAACTGGCTGCCATGATGTAGCCAAGAGTGTTAAACACCAAAAATCAATCAATCAGATTAACCTGTTTCTTTACACAAGTTTTGAGCCATATAATATAAAAATAAGGAGATGTGGTATGATTACCAATGAGACAACTATCCACCAAAGTTCAAATGAAGTGGATGTAAGCAATTATAGGCAACCGTACGTCCTTCAACAATGAGAAAAATCCATACCGTACAGTCCGCTATTGAAGGCCCCGACATGAAAAATATGAAACAATTCAATTGAGAAAACTTAAACAGCCTAATTTATAACTCTTTCTCAGAAAGTTTGATTTAGTAATATTACATGTATTAGTTAAAGAGGTATCTGTTTATTGATAGTAATTTTGTTGTTAAGACCAGAAAATGGTACGAGACGCAATCGGTAAAATAATGATTTCCTACGAGGAGTCACTAGAATGTTTATCATTCTGATAATAATTACCTGTACTTTTTTGTATCTCTTTAAGAATTAACCTTGAATTAGTAACGGAAATTAGATGAAAAGAAACTTAGCAATGAAAGTTTTGTTGTTATAAACAGTCTTTGATGAAATAGAATACAATTATCGATTCACCTGTTAGGTCTTAAAGTTTTATGATTTTTGCACATGCATGGGTTATCTGACAGATTTTAAATTTTACTGTCAATAAGATTGGATATGAATGGTCTTAAGATTTTATGATATGTTGACATGTATTTCTGAATTAATAAAGTTTGTATGATGATCAGACAAGATAATTTATTGGAAAAGTTATTTGATTGTAGGACATACTTTTCTTAAGGTGTAATTTTTGGAATGTAGATTCACATCAAAAAGACCATCAGGGTTTACTTTTTCTTTGTGTTATATAAAGAGTATGTTTTTATTCATATGAAAAGAAAACAATTTGGACCAGGTCCCATTATTAAAATTTTTTTTATTTGTATAAATGGACTTAATTTTTGGAAGTCGGCATTACACTTTTATACTGACATCAGCAATTGCAGGTGAGACGGGATTCCATGGAACTCTCAACAAATTTTTATGAATTACAGGAAAACTAAATTTGGTATATGGGATCCTTGCAAGGTCTACATCTTTGTCAGACAAGGTTCCCTTGACCCTGACCTTGACCTCATTTCACAGAATAGTGATCAAGGTTAAGTTTGCATGATCAAATCCATATCTTAAATACTATAAGCAATAGGTCAACGATTGTAAGATTTGCATGTCTGTCTGGCAGGGTTTATCTGGCCATGACCTCATTTTCAGCGTTCATTGGTCAACATTAAGTTTTTTGTGTATTGGTCTGTTTTTCATATACTATTAGCAATAGGTAAACTATGTTTGGTGTATGGAATGATTGTAAGATGTACATGTTTGTCTGGCAGGTACCATCTTCCCTTGTCATTAAGTTTTTGTAGTTATGTCTGTTTTTCATATAATATAAGCAATGGTTCAACTACATTTGGTGTATGGAATGATTGTAAAGTGTACAGAGTCATCTTGCAGGGTTCATCTCATCAAGTCTATGAGAAAAGGGAACTGCCTGGACTTAAAACTTAATTCATTTTGTGCAAATATAGTTAGCCATGAGTGTCATATAACACCGTGTGATGCGTTTTCAGATTCATCACTCAACAACTTCCTGTTTACCGAAATATTTTGGCGGGGGTATCATCAGTGAGCAGTAGCTCACACTTTTACTTGTTTATTATTCAAAAAGTCTTTAGTGGATTATATAAGAATAATTATGGTATTCTAAATAGGTATGCAAATGTACTGTTGTTTGTAAAACTGATGAAGGACTTTATGTTGAGAAACACTTAGAAAGGATTATGTAGAAAAATGTAAAAGTAATTGATATTCCATGGTTGTATTAGATTTGTTCATAGAACTAGTTGAAGAATTATATTGCTATTTGTAAATATAAAGGAATTATGAATATTCTTATGATTGAACACAAATAAATAATTTGAGAAAATCAACTTGGTGTCTAAATGGCCTTTTAAAAGGCGAGGAAATATAGAAACTACCTATTCAGTAATTTGTAAGACTACATTGTAAATATGCTAATTAGTTTTTACATGTTCTTTTAACATATAAACTTGAAAAAAGGAACCTAAAAGAAAAAAGATAACAGAATATTTTTCAAAAACTCATTTGCACAAAATGCTGGCATGGACAGATTGTAATTTTGCTTAGCAATGATCTATAGGGGAGCATGATAATATTGATAAGATTATAAGGAGTGATTGGGTACTATTTAAATACCGATATTCTACTATTTGTCCTTTAAATGATATTTATCAAATTAAATTCAATAAAGTACTGACAACCCATTTATTTTGTATATTTGTAGTACAACTTAATTTGATTAAAACTTGAAAATGCCTGTCATTTAAATTTTTATGTCATTCTTAAGATTGTACACTGGTGTTTTACTGCGTTTTAGAAGTTTGCACTTTACTCATATGTCTGTATTGTTAAAGGTGCAGATATATATGCAATGGGATTAACCGATATATTGCCATTCATGTTTCTTAAAACATGCAAATTTTGTTCCTTTTACAATTTGAGCAGAACATTGCAACAATCTGTTAGATCAAGAGGGCCCAGAGTTCCTCGAAATTTTTTCCCCCCTAGTTGTCCTTGAAGAAAATCAGCTGGTTCGCACTTTTATTTTTTATTGCAAAATACCAAAATTGTGTCTGTCATTCGCAAAATTTTGGTGGTCAAAACCTTCGGACCACCACTTTTCGAGAACTCTGGGAGGCAAACAACTACTGTTTATTTCTAACTGTCATTTGCATTTGGGCATTATAATTAGATCTATTAAGTTAAATAACAACAATAGTGTGAGAGTAGACATTTTACATATACATGTGCTGTTTGATCTTTTTTTTCTAAAAAAATTGAAATTTGAATTGAAAGCAATGAGTTATGTCAAATTTCAGGCAGGAATAAAAGATTATCTCCCCTGATAGACCCCCCAACTGTTCAGCAAGATGACGATGCTGAACTAGACTCAGGTATCAAAAGAGTTTGACTGAAGTGTGGTTAGTCTGGCCAGTTCTTGTAGAATTTTGTTTGAAATGTATATTCTTTAGAATTGATATTATAACATTTTTCAATGCTGATTTTTTACTTGTAAGCATGCTCATTTTGTCATCTTGGGTATGATTACTCAATTGTTTTAATAGAATATGCTAGAGACTGTTTGTAGACGCTAGAATGTATTGCATTGCAGTTATGTGAAAACTGAAAAATGTTGTAAAATATGTGAGTAAAATGTGCTGATTTACTAATTTTTTGTGTTAAACATGAGAAAGAAATAATGAAATATTAAAATCAGGACAAGTGTTTGAAGAATTTAAAAAGAAAATTTATTTTATTTTACAATTCTACAAAATAAAGAATAAAATGTTAATTAAATTCTATATGCCAGTGAAAACAACAAATATCATTGAGTATAATGAAAACAATTAACAATTGATTTATATCACCTCTTTGAAAAGTCATTTGACGGTGTAATCTTGATTTATATAAAAAATTTATGCTGATTTTTAGTTTTTAAAAAATCCTGCTTCGGAGGATAGCTTCGAAAGATTTTAATTTTTTTGAAAACATTTTAATTTTTCATTTTATTGAAAAGCAATATTAAAACATTTTCAGCAATCTGAATGCTCTGTTTTACTGGACAATTAAAACAAAAAATACTAACTGCATGATCTTCATATTTACATACCAGTTTTCACATAAAGGATATGCTTTTTACAGATGAATTCTATAAAGATGACTTTAAAGAGGAGGAAAAAGAAACATTACCATTTGGTAAAATTATTTGAACCCTTCCAATACTTTTTTTGTGATCTCCTAATATAAGTTTGTGGCCAAAGGGAAGTAATTCTGCAATCTTGAGTGTCTTTTTCTGCAGGCAATATGTATAGAACAGTTGTTTCGACATTTAATTCCACCATCTTTTTTCTTTTTCTACTCTAGTTAAATTTTCCCTTATATTCCTTTTCTTCTCTGTTTGAAAATTGTCATCATTTTTATTTTCAAAACCCTTCTGAATACATTTCAAATATTCTTCAGTTTTTCTGTACTCTTTTTACTCTAAAAGAAATTTACATTTGTAAATAGAAAACAAAAATTTGTATAAATGCTTCGTTTCCATTTCACATTTTTTTTTAAATAATAAATATATTTTGCTGATTATGAAGAGAAACTTTGTTACTACACTTGTATTATGAAAAAATCATGTATAATAAATTATTTATTTTTCAGGTATGTATAGGAACAATTTCATACAGATGTATAAATTTACAATACTGGTACTGTCACATGATTTGACTCTCCTTTAAGTTATAGTTATTGTAGTAAACATTCATTTTTTCAGGTCGTAACCAAGGTTTCCGTCACAATTTTTCATCCTATGCAGAATGGGAAAAGACATACGGGTATAACATAAGTAGTGACAGCGGTAGTGAAAGTGATAATGATGATTCAGACTCAGAAAGCAAGAAAAATGGAGGTAAAAATTCAATTCAGTTTTATTCTGTCATTTCACAAATTTTGAAAAAGTTATTGTCAGGCTATTCTTTGAAGACTGCCTGACTTACTTCAGTTTTGAGATGATTGCTCTTAAAACTTCTTGTATCCTATTATCCTAGATCTGGCAAGGGCTTTATATGGAGAAGGATTTAGTTATCTATTGTTGAAGAAATTTCCTTCAGGGAATTTCATTTATACTGTTAGATGTTTTTAGGCCTTTTGGAATCTGTCAGTTCCTATCTACTTAGTAGGTTTTCCCAGCATAATAACCAAATGTTAACTATAGTTCCTGTCCTTACAAATCATTCAAATTGGTCAATTTCAGAGAGGGTTTATTTATGCAAAAAAAAATCTTTATTTAAAAAACAACATTGATTTTTTAATTTTGTTTACTACCATTGTCTAGTCATTTTACATAATATGCTGTAAACTATAAATTAAAGTATCCACCTTTAATATTAGAACAACTCATGAAAATGACAAGTTTAAGTGATAAAGGGCTTGAACAATGAGATTTAGATTTTTATGTCAGAAAGGTCTGTATATATTTTGTTATTTTATACAGTGAAGAAACTAAGTAAGGAACAATAACAGAATCATTTCATCTGCTAATGTTTTCAGAAATTTTGGATGTTTTTCTCACATTTATGAATTCTACAGTTCTGATTGAATATTCTGGTGAACTGTACATTTAAGTTTAGGAGGATTTATTTAAGATAGTATGTGACACAGAATGACTGACTACTACTGGGGTACTAAACAACCTTGGCTACCCATTAGGGTCTCGCTCGGTTGGTATGATACAGAATGATATTATTATTTTCTCCGGAATAGATAACCTTAAGGATTTCTCCTCTATTAAACTGTGAAGTTGTGCTTAACCTTTATAGAATTTTAGAGAAATGTAACTTAATTAAACAAACCAAAACAAAGATCACTATCAAATTAAATTCTTGACAATATGTTAATTGTAAAATGAAAATAAAAAATTATATTAAATGATCACATACACATGTTGTAAAACTCAGACAACTTTATGTTTTTTGAATTATTTCCCTTTGGTTGGAGCATAGATGACTTTATAAAGTTTGCTAACCCAATGAGAGGTATATTAGGTAATACATCAAAGGATATTATGCACCTACCTTCCACTTCATAGTTATCTGTTCAAAGGGATAGTTTTTAGGGGTTTGTTTAAGACACATGACTGAAAATTTCACTAAGCCTTTCACCAAGGTAATGTAAAAGACATTTTTTGTAGGCATTTTTGTAATTATTTGAATAGGTTACGATTTTCTTATCATTTTAATGTCAATATGTTCGTTTCCTATGCTTTTGAAATTGTTTGTCCTTGGCTTAGGTTATACATTCATGTAAAATTTTGGCCAGAGAGAATTACAAATTCACTTTGATAATTTGACAGTTTTTTTTCAGAATAGGGGATAACTACAAAACGTAGGATATCTAATTTAGTTTCAGTATATATAATATTAAGAAATTTCAAATGATTTTTAAGCCCCTGCATCAAAAAAGGAGGGTGGTTAAGATGGTATCTTCCTTTGCCTGTCTTTCTTTTCATCCGCATGGTAAATAGTTTGTGTGGCTTATATTTGGCAATGGCTATAAGAATTTTTTTTGACTTAGGTCGGGCCATATAGTTTTACCCTTGTCCATCATTCTGCTGATTTTTGCCGAAATTACAGGTTTTGTACTACGTAAATTTCATGAACAGTTATACAGACTTTTTTTTCTGAACACCCTTGTCTGTCATTCCGTAATGAATAGTTATATGGACTTTTTTTCTAAATGCCTTCACATATTGAGCTGATTTTTAGTATGATGAGTTACAGATCGAGTGTGCATTTGGTTCCGCTCTTCTTATTTTTGCCGAAATTACTGGCTTTGGACTTTGAAAATTTCCACTCCTAAAAATGGCTTCAAGCTTTTTTTACGAGCGGGCATTAGTGTTGTTCCGACACATTAAGTTTCTTCAAATATTTACAAATTACTTTACATATTGTTGAATTTGCATAGTAGTTTTGTGAATTTTGCATATAGGTTACATCATTTTGTAGGTAACTCCTATACTTATTAGACCAGAATCTATTTTGTAAAATGTCTGTGCATACCCCGGAGGTGGGTATGTCATTACTTTAAATAGGCTTATTTCTTAAAAATTGTGTATACAAACATATGAGGTTGAATTTTGAACACCATATATATTTAAAAGACAGCAAATATATAAGAAATGATGGTTTGACTTCAAACCTGCCATGCCCAAGTAGTGTTTATTGGCTTTCATGCTTCAGTTTAGGTTGAAAGTAAATCTTCAGTTTATTATTTGAAATTCGTATGCAAATTTTTAAATAAGAATTTTATTTATGCTCTACTAAATTTCTGCAGTTGTTTGTTACAGTTTAAAGGGATTGAAAAGAATTACATTCAGTACCGGTATATAGATATTTGCACTTTGGACTGCATATTAATTAAACGAGACTTCAAGAGGTCTACAATTTCAGTCTGTATTTTATCAGAGCTCTGATCTACATTGTCTAACAGCTTTGTAACAGGTTTATTATCCAACCCTTTTAAAAAGTAACAACTGTGAACAATAGAAAAGAATTAGAACATACCATTAGCATGTAAAATTTAAACAGATTTGTAAAGCCAATATTACTATACTGACCATATGATTTGTTTTTGACTACAGCCCTGTTAAATGAGCATAATGTATGCCCTAAAAATGTTTATAAAAATATCAAAATGTGATTTTGGTTCCACTCATATGCCCTTGTTGCCAGGCTTTACCAGTATCTACGATACTAAAATACTTCAAATTTGACTCAAACTAAAGATTTGTCATATGCAAACAGGATTTAAATTTTTGTTTTGTTTAGCTCTCAAGATTTATGCTTCTCCTAAGTTATATACTGGAGATTGGTCAATTCTGTGGCCAAATTTCTACAGTAAATAAGGAATAGGCTTAATACTTTCGTGTTAGAGCAACCCTCTACCTCTAAGTCTTGACACATTGTTAGATCCTAATATGTAGATGTGGATTTATGTACCACTCTCCAATGCAATGAGTTTTTCCACATCATTGACGGTCATGTTTCTTTGACGTGACACATTTTCACCATGCTCAAACTAGGATGTAATTCACTTTACGAAAGTTATAACATATACATAGCCATTCTTACCCTTTCATGTGTCCATCTCTTTAGTTAACATATGGCTAGATCTAATAAATCTGATGATTGCTGAAACTGTTATGAAGTGTTGATTTGATTTTATATACTCTGTTTCCAATAAAGTATTTGCTTCTCAATTGAATATATCAATGGACATAACCATCCTTGAGGATAATAATCATTGATATTTGTATGAATACTGATATTTCCAGATGATGATATATTTGGAAGATTTAGAAATATAAATCCTCAATCGGATAAAGAACTGGATGATGGTAGAGTACTGTTTTAGTATCTAGTAAAGTAGTTGGTTCTTGGATGGTAATTTTCTTTGATTGTGGTATTATGGTTTTAGATATTGTAGATATGATAATATGGTAGATCAAGCATGTCTGTATTAAAATAGTTAGATATACGAATTTTAAAAGTGGGGAGAATAGCATGGCACAAAAAATATAAATTATTGAGTATTTTTAATGCAATGGCAAAATATTTTATGATAATAATGAGTATTCATTCAGATTTCTTTATTCTGATGGTTTACACTTCTGAAAATAAAAGGTCTAATTGTAGTAGACTTTGAAGGAATGTTAACAATTGCTCCTCTTGGGAGAATCATATAATACGAATCTGTTGATTAGATGTATGGTATAAAGTTATGCCTTGATACACATTAGATCCTTTGAAAAAATAAAAAATGCAGAAAATTAATGGTGAAAAGTACAACCACTAAATATCAAAGGAAAATAAAGCTAAAACGTAAAAAAAAAAAAACCTAAATAAAGTTTTAAGGCGGAAAATTACCCAATATTGAACATGTTTATCATTTTGTTCACTGAAATAAACAAATAATGTACCACTTATTAACAAGAAGGAGAATTTACATTTCATACACTTCACAACTCAATTACATTACAAGCTTCAAAGAAAAGGACGACCAATAGGTCATTCCAGTGCTTGTCCATGAATAGTATTTGTCATCGATCTGTTGATATAGAAGATATAAGTAATAAAAAACAAACAACCAGGTATAAGTAATGTAGGTACTTCAAACATTACAGTTGACAAGTGTAATAGCAACACTGTTTTACGATGTATTACATTGACTAATCTCTACAGTTTAAATAGATATGTTGATCCAGTGGGGTATTCCTGTGTTTATATAGTACGTTTACCTTAGTAAGGGATTGTTAGCTCTCATCAAACTAGGATCTTAAAGAATGAGATAGTCTCTTGTTTTGTTTTCTGATTATAATTGGATGTATATTGAAGTTTGTTGACTGTAAACTTCTTTTTATTTCTGTACAAATGTATTTTAAGGTGGGCTTTGTTGTCAAATTATTTTTTCATGAATTCCTAGCTGATATCGTAATGGACAAGTACTCTCATCCTTACATCAGGTCACTTGTAACAGTCACTTGTCTTATCTGAAAGGGTAACCAAGCAAAGTGTAGTTTGATCCAACATGGAGTGTCAGTTGCATTCTTGTACAATTTTAGAACTGTTAGTCTAATTTAGTATCTGCAAAAATCAAGTTTGGCACGGAACTGAAAATATACAATGAACTTAAACACTCGTACTCTCATACTCATTATAAGTACTGTTGAGGTGCTATAAAAGTACACAGTAACTTAAATGGGTTTTGTGTTTCATTATGAAGATAATATCTATGCTAATGAAATATTTAAATAAAATGATATTTTGTTATTGCAATTTTTATGGGGAAAAAATAATTATATTCTTTCATTGGTATAACTTTAAAAAATCAAATATTGCTTCTAGCTTTGTA